CCCCCTATGTCAGGCTGGAGAACCTGTGGGCAGAAGGCTCTGGGAGTTGTGGTAAACCTCATTCATTCAGTCTGCAAATATTCACTGCATAGCCTGCCAGGCCCTGTGTCCCCATGGGGTGCAAATGGCCTCGGGCTCCTGTCCTCAGGCGGTCACCGTCCAGTGGAGAGACGTAGCTAATATGCCAGGGGCAGGTGCTTCCTGCAGGCTGTGCAGGGGGTGGTGGGGGCACATCAGGTAGCGGTCAGTCCTGAGGGGGTGGAGGCCAGACGATGTGGCTAAGAAGGCTCTTCAGAGGAGGGAGAGAAGGGATTGGGAGAAATGAGCAGATAAGCAGAGGCGAAGAGATGGCAAATGGAGCTGGGGTAGGGGGAAGGTGGGACACTGAGTACTGAGACAGAAGAAGCCAGCGGGCATCCTATGGTGCAGGGCTTCCCTGGCCAGGCTAAGGGTTTGAGGCTTTCTCCTCTAGATCACGGGAGCCATAGGAGAAATGGCCAAGGCCCCAGTGACACTCAAAGTCTTAGTAGATCCATATCCTCTAAGCCCAGTCCCAGAGCTCAGACTCCTCAGGCCTGGCTTCCCTGGCTGGGCTGTAGACGTTCAAAGAGGAAGAGAGGTTCACTGCCCTTGGGGGTGCGGGGTTCACGATGGAGACAACAGGGAAGGCTCCGTCAGCCACTAAACAAATCATTCCGTGAGCATGTGGCAGGTACCAGGCCCCGCACTGCCTCCTGGAGCTCACATCTGATGGGAGAACCAAGCCAAAAAGTACCCCGTTCTGTGTTCTGCATTTGAGACGTGGTGCGGACTGGGCCACTTGTCCTAGAGGGGGGGGGGGGGGGGGGGGGTCGCACCTCTCCAGAAGCTCCCAGATGCACAAAGCCCCGCCCACACCCCCAGATGTCCCAGAAGAACTTGCCACAGGGATTCCCAGCCCAGGGGGCCACCCCGGGCAACGCTCTGGGGAGCTTACCCAGTGCGATCGGAGGGGACGAGGAAAACTAGTTATGGGTCGGGGGGGCCAGTTGAACTCTACTTCTCAGCCAGGGCGGGAGCCAGGCCTGCCCAGGGAGCTCCAGTTCCAGGCTGGAGTGCCTGCCAGCAGGGTGGCTCCCCGGTGCCCCCTCCTGGAGAACCCGGGGAAAGTGACCCCGGAGAGGGCTACCCAGGCTGGCTTATAAATGAAGAGAGAAGTGAGCACCCCCTATTTCCTGGGCACTGCTATGTGCCAGGCACCTGATCTCAGAGGATAGTAGCATTCCGGTTTCTTCGATTCTGAGAACAGCATCGGGAGGGTAAGGAACCAGGCAGCATTGCTGCATCAGGAATGTGCTGCAGGTCCCACCGGGCTCCTCTGTGCCTGGCGCCTGATGGTAATTAGGCCAACGCTGCCCGGCAGGTGTTCTCGGTCCACAGTCTCCAGCACCCCCTCGGAAGGCTGCGTGATCTCATTTGAGCCCCACGACAACCTTCCTAACTAGCTTGTGCAGGTGTTATAGAACACTCCGAGCCGAAACCGGTTTGGCTCAGTGGTACAGCGTCGGTCTGCGGACTGAAAGGTCCCAGGTTCGATTCCTGTCAAGGGCATGTACATTGGTTGCAGGCACATCCCCAGTAGGGGGTGTGCAAGGGGCAGCTGGTCGATGTTTCTCTCTCATCAACGTTTCTAGCTCTCTATCTTTCTCCCTTCCTCTCTGTAAAAAATCAATAAAATATATTAAAAAAAAAAAAAAACACTCCGAGTTTACAACCGAGGAAAGCAAATCAAAAGGAAGATTAAACAACTCCTCCTCTAAGGCGAGAGAAGCCCCGAGGGCAGATTTCTGAGTCCTTGTTAGCTTCTGGCTACCCTTCTGGCCCGAGGTCCTCCCTCTCCCACCTGCCGTTTGGCCTTGTTTTACAGTCCTCTGTGTGCTGGTCTGATTCCTGCTCATGGCCCTGAGCTCATGACCGTGCCCTCTCACCCTGCAACCCCTGTGGTACTCAGCACAGCACCCGACACCCAGTGGGACTCGGATCCCAGCACCCGCTCCCAGTGTCTTCATGGCGACTCTGGCGTCACACAGACCTCACTCAAACCCTGGCTCTGCCATTTACCAGCTGTGTGGCTTTGGGAAGTCATTAACTCTCTCTACGTCTTCGCTGTTCCTCCTAAATGAGGATGCTTACAGCACCCACCTTATTGTTATAAAGATGAAATGAGATGATGCAGCAAACACCACTAAGAACAGTAGACACAACGATTGCCACTGCTGGAGATGCAAAGAAATAGACCCGGAGTTGGGGGTGGAGGTGGGGGGGGAGGGAGAGAATAGACAAGTTTGCCCTATTCTCAGGTATTTACCATGTGGTTTGGGAAATTTAACACTAATGCAGAATTAGTCCAGGATGTATTGCGTCAAGAACCAACTTGTAAATACGTTGGGTTCCAAGAGCTTTTAGGTTAAATATTTGATTTCAAAAGCACATGGTCCAAAATCAAAACCAAACCAAAAACTCAAAATGGTGCCAGAAAAATAAAAGACGAATTCATTATTTGGCTGCCAGGTTAGCCTTCTAAACTCTTTAATCCCTAAGATTGCAATAAAAAATAGTATATGACACTGTCAGCTTAACATCTATCAACAATCTCCTGAATAAGAAGTGATTTCTTTACTTTGGATGCTGGTGTTTGGAGTAAGGTGACTCCGTACCAGCTGCAGGACCCTCTGGCTATTCTGGCGGCCAGAGCTTTTCAACATCCATGTGCCCTCTGTCAGGCCTGGCCTGGGCAGCCCGAGGCCCCAGCCCAGCTGACTTCAGGTTTGAATCCTTTTGCTGTTTACCTCAATGCGCCAACGTATTTTTTTCTATGTGCCACATAGGGAGCGTGGTTGGCAAACGCTGCGGAAGGGACCAGGAGCCTCTCCTTGGTGGTCCCACAGCTCCTGAACTTCTCCCATCCCAGGTCTTTGGTTCCTCCATCAGCAAAGAGCCTGGAGAGGGCCTAGCCCGAGGCCTGGCTCTGATGCCTGTTGAAGGAACCATGGCAGTGGCAGGCCTTGGGCAGGAGAGGGAAGCGTTGGGCAGCGCCCCTCTGCAGGTCACACTGTGTGAGGGCGACCTGGGGGAAGATTTGAAGGAGAGAGCAAGTAGGCCAAGGTGCTTACAAGTCGAACAGGTAGACCCGTCTGGCAGCATGGTCCCATGAGGTACAGAGTAATATCTCATCCAAAGGCATTAAAAATGTCATGAGGTTGGAGAACTGGTCTGGGCAGGGGGTCAGGGGGACAGGGGGAGGTGAAAATAGCTAAGAATGAACTATGCTGAGAGGTCCTAACTGTAAGAGGAGAAAGAAGGGAGCCACTATTTACCTAAATTTATCTACAAATTATCCTGGGTTGGTGCTAATACACCCATTGTAGAGATGAGGAAACTGAGGCTCAAGAGCTTGTCTCTTGCTCATCGTTTGTAGCTTGGACAATTGTACCAACCACAGCTGTCCAGGTTTTCCTCCAGGTTTTCCCTTTTTCCCTCCCAATTCTTCTACCACAATGTTCATCCATTGATTCATTCAACAAATATGTATTGAGCACTGCTGTGTGCCAGACACCGTGCTGGGCACTAGGGGATACATCAGTTAACAAAACAAAAACCCCTGCCTTCATAGAGGAAAGATGACAAAATAAACAGGTAAACTTTATGGTATAATGGAAGGAGACATGTGCTGCAGAGGAAATGATAGCAAAGCGGTGGGTAAGGAGTGCTGGGCTGCAATTCTGAGCAGGGGAGCTAGAAAAGGCCGCTTGGCAATAACGACCCGAAGGAGGCAGTCACGTTGACAAACCCAGCTGCATAATTTGTGGGCTCCTAGGAGCTTGTGAGAAAGTCGGGAGCTGCCGGGCTCGGCCTGGGCCTTGGGCATGTGCTGCTGGGCATGGGGCTGCCGCTCAGTGCCGTCTCCCCTTCCCAGGCTCTACGTGCTGAAGCTGTCCGACGACATCGGCAACTTCGGGGAGGTGAGGCTGCCCCTCCTCGGCTGCCTCTGTGTCTCCTGGGTGGTCGTGTTCCTCTGCCTCATCCGAGGGGTCAAGTCTTCAGGGAAAGTAAGTGCCCCCCTGCCAGGGTCTCAGGGTCTATGCCCCCAGGAAGGCCTGCCTCCCCTGCCTGCCTGGCTGTGCGTGTGTGTGTGTGTGTGTGTGCATGTGTGTGTGTGCCCGCGCTTATGTGTGTGTGTGCGTGTGGGGGTGTGTGTGCGTGTGTGTGCGTGTGTGTGTGTGGGGGTGCGTGTGTGTGTGCGTGTGTGTGTGTGTGTGTGTGTGTGTGTGTGGAGGGGGTGATGAAGGGCCACGGGAGGGATGAGTGGTGGCTGAGGCAGGTGGGGGCGGGGGCGGGGCAGGCACCGCAGGAAGAGCCCAGAGGAGCACAGCGGGCCTGTCTCGCGCAGGTGGTGTACTTCACGGCCACATTTCCCTACGTGGTGCTGACCATCCTGTTCGTCCGCGGCGTGACCCTGGAAGGAGCCTTCACAGGCATCATGTACTACCTGACCCCACAGTGGGACAAGATTCTGGAGGCCAAGGTGGGACGCCGTGGGCCACCCGGAAGGGACGGGGCGGGGCAGGGAGGCGCCTGCCTCTGACCACAGCTCCCTTTCCACAGGTGTGGGGGGACGCCGCCTCCCAGATCTTCTACTCCCTGGGCTGCGCGTGGGGAGGCCTCATCACCATGGCTTCCTACAACAAGTTCCACAACAACTGCTACCGGTGAGACTCCCGCCAGCCCTGGGCCCATTCCCTGCCCTCTCCTCGGCCTGGCCCACCAGGGCCCTCCCTCCCACTCATGGCCTGGAGGTCCTGGGAACGCTGGGTCTGGTCAGGTCATCAAGGATGGAGAGAGAACCTTGGCAGCAGAGAGAAGAGGGGTAGGGACAGTGATGTCCCAGGGACCTATGGGGACTCAGGAGCCTCAGGCCCACTTAAAAAGGTCCAGAGTGGACCAGTATAGAGGTCGGGGACACCTGCTGGTGGTCTTAATCCAGCATCGAGAAGGGTTCAGGAACCTGGAGAAGCGCTGTGTGTAAATTATTAAAGAGCCCAGAGACGAAACATAATTTTGAAAGGCGTTATGGGGAGCCAGAGAAGACGTATCGAAAGGAATTAAGTTCTCTTCTGTCTCAGGACCCCTTGCTTTTTTTTTTTTTTTTTTTTAATATATTTTATTGATTTTTATACAGAGAGGAAGGGAGAGAGATAGTTAGAAACATCGATGAGAGAGTGTCATCGATCAGCTGCCTCTTGCACACCCCCTACTGGGGATATGCCCGCAACCAAGGTACATGCCCTTGACCGGAATCGAACCCGGGACCCTTCAGTCCCCAAGCCGATGCTCTATCCATTGAGCCAAACCGGTCCCGGCAGGACCCCTTGCTTTTTATTAACACAAATTGTCCTAAGGCAAGGTGGAGATATACACACTAAAGGCCAGAGTTTGGTGTACAGAATCCATTGTCAGACTGGAGAATTTGCCTACAGCTGTTCAGGTGTTTAGCCAGTAGGAAGCAATAACATGTAGATTGAAATGCCCTCAGCTGCCTGGCAGCAAGCAATCATTTTTGCATCCTTTTCAGGTTTGGGGAAATGCCCTCAGCCATTTCCAGATGATTCAGCCCTGCTGACATGCTGGCGTTGGCTTCCGGCAGACACCTCCATCCCTAGAACTTTCCCTGTCTCCGAGTCCTCTTCTGGCCCAAATCGGGCAGAGGGGAGCAAGCCGTATGCCCTGAATTGGCCCGTTTTCCTCCCCACCAGGGATAGCGTCATCATCAGCATCACGAACTGTGCCACCAGCGTCTATGCTGGCTTCGTCATCTTCTCCATCCTGGGCTTCATGGCCAATCACCTGGGTGTGGACGTGTCCCGCGTGGCAGACCATGGCCCTGGCTTGGCCTTTGTGGCCTACCCAGAGGCCCTCACCCTGCTGCCCATCTCCCCGCTCTGGTCCCTGCTCTTCTTCTTCATGCTCATCTTGCTGGGGCTGGGCACCCAGGTAGGTGGTGTGCATCGGGAAGCGGGGAAGGCGCAGAGCCTGGGCTCCTCCTCTGACGGCCATCCCTGCAGTTCTGCCTCCTAGAGACGCTGGTGACAGCCATTGTGGATGAGGTGGGGAACGAGTGGATCCTGCAGAAAAAGACCTATGTGACCTTGGGCGTGGCCGTGGCCGGCTTCCTGCTGGGCATCCCCCTCACCAGCCAAGTAAGAACCGATGGGGGGGGAGGCTGGGCTGGTGTTGCCAGGACGCGAGGGGGCGCCGGGTCTGGGAACCCAGCCACAGACCCTGACTCGGCTGCCCGCTGGCCCGCAGGCAGGCATCTACTGGCTGCTGCTAATGGACAACTATGCGGCCAGCTTCTCCTTGGTCGTCATCTCCTGCATCATGTGTGTGTCCATCATGTACATCTACGGTAAGTGCCCAACCTGCCGCGGCCTCCCGCGCGCGCCCCAGCCCCGGGCCGCCCACACCGTCCTGCCCGGCCACTGACGCCCCTCTCTCCAGGGCACCAGAACTACTTTCAGGACATCAAGATGATGCTGGGGTTCCCACCGCCCTTCTTCTTCCAGATCTGCTGGCGCTTCGTCTCCCCAGCTATTATCTTCGTAAGTTCCTGGGGCCAGCCTCTCACTCATCCTGTGGCCTCTTGGCCGGTGTCCTTCTCGTGGGAACCAGAGCTCCCATGAGGCCCCACGCTCTGGCCCTTGTAGTCTAAGGAGGTGGCGTAGAGTCAGACAGGCGTGCGGAGGCTCAGAACCACCCTAGCCCTCGCCTTGAGTTCTGAAGGGAGCACGGAACCCCGAATCTGAGTGGCAGGAGACAGCAGTCTGGCAGCAGCTGAATCGGCCCTTCCTCCCTGGGCCCTGGAGGGACCTCAGGAACCATGACTGATATTGGTGTCAGCCTCACTGAGCATCGTTCTCCAACCCATCACAGCCGAGGTGCTCCAGGTGCCCGGTGTCTGTGGTGTGAATGCGTGAGTGTCCCGGAAGCAGGCTGCACCAGAGTCAGCTGTCAGCTCAGGATCAGGGAAAGCCTGTAAACCGTTCAGGCACTGCAGTGGGCTGACTTGGGAGAGGGAAGTCTTGGTTACCACCAATACCAGCACCTGGGAAACCCATCTGGGAGCTGAATTAGTGGCAAGAACTCCCAGACACTTTCTACACACTGGGAATTTGTGCACCAGGCCTCTAGTGAGTTAGTTATTATTTGGGATCAGGCCAAAATCAGCTCTCTGATATCCCCTGAGGGGTCCCAGATTGTAAGAGGGCACAGGCCAGGCCAAGGGACCCCACTGGTGCACAATTGGGAACAGGGAGGGACACAGAGGTTGGCCAGCCAGGGAGGGACCACAGGAGGGCTCCAGGGCATGTCCAGGCCACCTCACTCAGTCCTGATCAGCCAGACCTCAGCACCAAGCTAACCTACTGGTCGGAGAATCTGCTCCCTGGTGGTCAGTGCACATCATACGAGCAATTGAGTGGCCTTAGCATATCCTTAGCATATTACACTTTGATTGATTGAACAGACAACCGGACAATTGGACACTTAGCATAGTGGGCTTTTATTTATAAGATGTACTAATACAACTCTCAGAGGTATCACTATGATCCCCACTTGACAGATGCGGAAACTGAGGCATGGAGATGTTAAGTATCTGACCCAAGGCTACTCAGCCAATAAGAGGCAGTGCCACTACCCTACGCAGGTAGTCCAGTCTGGAGTCTGCGTGGTGGGCCAGCGCCACTCTACAAACCACCACCGGGAGGAGCTATTACTTCCTTTAGATTTTGCTCCTTTATGCTCAGGGTGGGAAGTGGGAGCACAAGGGGTTTGGTAGGGTAATGGTCAGTCCACAGAGAAGAGGCAGGGCCGTCTCTGAGTGACAGAGGGGTCAGCCCAGGGCGAGGGCAGTGTCCAGAGCCATGCCCCTGTCACACCCGACTCCTGTGCCACAGGGAGCTCGGCAACGGGTTTTCACTTTGGCTCATGTTTCTGAACAAAAGGCCCCTGAGGGCTGAGGCCTCCACCACATGGGGTGTGGGATTTTCCCTGAGCCTGGCACAGGCACCAGCTCTGGCCACTGGCCCAGCTTTGAAACAGGAGGAGCGGAAGTCTCCGGTAGTGGTGAGAGGCCGGGAGGGCAGGCACTGCCACTAAGCGCCGTCCCCTGTGGGGCCCAGGCCCTGCCTGAGGGGAGCTCACCCCCCACAGCTCCGGGGAGGCTGCCACCCTGGGGAGAGACGTGGAGCAGGTCAGGAGGCAGGAAGGAGGGGGGCACAAGAAGGACCCGCAGGGGCAGCCTCGGCCTGGCTCCAGTGTCATCGAGCTAGGCAAAGTGGGCAGTGTCCTCTCTGTGCACAGACAGTCAGGCTGAAGTTAAAATATAAGGTGAGAAGCTCTAGCCGGTTTGGCTCAGTGGATAGAGCATCAGCCTGCAGAGTGAAGGGTCCCGGGTTTGATTCCAGTCAGGGGCACATGCCCAGTGAGGGCATGCAAGAAGCAGCTGATTAATGATGCTCTCTCATCATTGATGTTTCTAGCTCTCCCTCTCTCTTCTCTAAAAAGAAAAAAATATATATATATGTTAAAAACAAAAAAATAAGGTGAGGACTCCAGGCCCTGTGGAAACATGGTTTTACATTTCTTTTTGTTCATTCTCACCTGAGTATATTTTTTTCAATGAAAGAGTGGAATTGAGAGAGAGAGGGAGAGAGAGAGAGAGAGAGAGAGAGAGAGAGAGAGAGAGGGAGAGAAACATAGATGTGAAAGAGACACAACGATTGGTTGCCTCCTGCCCGGGGATCAAATTTACAACCCAGGTATGTGCCCTTGACCAGAATCGAACCCGAGACCCTTTGGTCTGTGGGATGACACTCTAATCACTGAGGAAAACTAGTCGGGGCTGTGTATACATTTCTGAAAGGCTTTTTGACAAACTCCTTCCTTTGCCAGCTCAGTGAAGGGATTTGTCCACACCTAGATCAGGTTCTAGGTTCGTTCAGGAAACTTGTTATAAGCTCCTACTATGCGCAGTGTCCGGGGAAGGGCCCTCACAATGGATGTGGGTCTTGACCTCCAGAATTCGGTCACTGGAAGGCTGGGGGAGACTGAGCTTTAGGGCTCAGCTGAGCGCTCAGGAGGCGAATGCTGAGCCCCTCTGGGTGGCCCATGAGCCATCGGCCCATCCATCAACTTTCTGCTTCCTTTAGTTTTATTTTTTATTTATAGTTGACACACGATATTCTGTTAGTTTCAGTGTACAACATAGTGGTTCGATATTTATATACTTTACAGAGTGATCACCCAGGTAAGTCAGTGCCCATCTGACACCATACGGAGTTCCTCACATCCTTTAGGTTTTCCGTTTCTCATCTCGCCTCTTTCCAAAGCATCCCGGGCCAGCCACGCACCACGCCCAGCCTTAGGAGCCTCCCCAGGCTGCCCAGAGACCAGGGGCTTCGCCTTCTCTCCCTCCTACTCTCTCCTCTCTGCACAAGTCAGTTCAAATCAGCAAATGAGGTTGTGCCAGGCAATGTGCTGGGCACGGGAGAGCCCGAGCTGATGCCATCTCAGGAGTGCCCGGGTGCATGGGGACTATTAAATAAATGCTTAGCAGATGGGAAAAGCCTTCCAGGGGGCGGAGATGGGAAATCTGGAGAGGCTTCTATTCATTTCATTTACTAATTTATTTACTTATTTAAAAAATAATCACCCAATCATTGATTTTAGAGAGAGAAAGGGAGAAAGAGAAAGAGAAACATTGGTGAGAGGAACATGGATCGGTTGCCTCCCGCAAATACCCCCACTGGGGATCGAACCAGCAACCTGGGTATGTGCCCTGACTTAGAATCGAGCGTGCAACCTTCTGGTGCACGGGAAGACGCCCAACCAACTGAGCCACACTGGCCTGGGAGGGAGTGGCTTCTCGGAGGAGATGGTATTTGTTTAGATGCGGTGGAGGATTCTCCAGAGTAAATGGAAAGGGTAGGAACGCTGGGTGTGGCCGAGACCCTGAGACCAGGGCAATCTGGCCAAAAAGATAAGCTGAGGCCTCCACGTGAGGCAGCAAGAGCCCTGAAGGCCAGGGATCAGGCCTCACTTCGAAAGGCTGTAGGGAGCGGCAGTGTCTTTGAGCAGAAGTGACTTCCAAAGGTGACAGACAGCAGCTTAGTGGTTCCCTGGCCGACCGGAATCATGGGGAAGCCAGACCTCTCCCCTTCCATCGTACGTACACGCTGTCGCGCCCTGGACCCCGGTTCCATCTATCTGCTTCTTGCACCACCCAAACATTGGCATTGGTCCTGCCTTCCCTCAAATGCCTCTTATTTTATCTTGTGAAACTAGAGAGGAAGGGAGGGGGTGCTAATAGGAGGCCTGGGTGGGGCTGATGCCCATTCTTACCCCCACTCTCTGCAGTTCATCCTCATCTTCACGGTGATCCAGTACCGGCCAATCACCTATAACCACTACCAGTACCCAGGCTGGGCGGTGGCCATCGGCTTCCTCATGGCGCTGTCCTCCGTCATTTGCATCCCACTCTACGCCCTGTTCCAGCTGTGCCGCACGGACGGGGACACGCTCCTCCAGGTGAGGGGCGCCCATGAACTGGGACGGGGCAGATCATTGGGGTGTAAGGGCCCTCCTCTGACATGCCTTGCTTCCCCCTCCCCGCCCCCCAACAGCGTTTGAAAAATGCCACAAAGCCAAGTCGAGACTGGGGCCCCGCCCTGCTGGAGCACCGGACTGGGCGCTATGCCCCCATCATGCTGCCCTCCCCCGAAGACGGGCTGGAGGTCCAGCCACTGCACCCGGACAAGGCCCAGCTCCCCCTCGTGGGCAGTAGCATCCCCCTGGTGGGCAGTAACGGAAGCCGCCTGCAGGACTCCCGGATATGAGCACGGCTGCTGGGAGGGCCCAGCCCCACCTGTGCTCCTGCCGCAGAGACTGGGGAGGCAGCGGACGGACGGGTGTCACCGCCTGCCCCGCCGTGCCCTGCGCAGGGCGACTGCTGTCACCTTGGCCACCACCGCTAGGGCGGTCATTTGTGCTCGTGTCCCCAGTGTTTACAGGTCCTTCGGATGCCAAGGTGGAAGCTGGGCCAGGAGAGGGAGGAGGCGGGGCTGCCGGCTGGGCGCTAAAGCACTTTGAAGGGGTCTCGGGCCAGGTCCCCAGAGGCCTGCCATGCTTCTGTGGCCTCCGACGCCCCCGCACGCTGCCCCGAGCTGAGTCTCTGGCTGAGCCCCTGCCTGTCCCTGTCCTTGGGCCACCAGCCTCCGACCAGTGTTCCTGCCCTCGGAGCAGATCCCGGCCTCTGCCGGGCAAATTCGGATCTTCCCACCTGGGGGCAGGGTGAGGGGACGGGGCTGTGCAGTGTTACTTGTCAGGCTGTGTCCCTCCCTCCCACCGCAGCCCTGTTTGTCTGTGTAATTATTTTTGTAAGAACTGTCTTATCTGTGGTTGCCACGCCCTTCACCCCAGGCCTCAGGCCCCATCTGTCTTCCAGGCCTGCCTGCACCTCACTCGGCTGCTCTGGGGTTTCCTGGCCCCGTGGCAGCCCCAGCTGCCAGGCCCAGTGAGCGGAGGCCCCTGACTCAGCAGCCTGCCCAAAGCACTGGTTCCCCTGGGCCGGGGAGGAGTGCTGCTCACAGGAGGGTGGAGCTCAGAGCCCAGAGCCCAGGGGAAGGGACCCTACATGACACCCCCTTTCCCTGCTCCCGCCGCCAGGCTGAAGGGCCCGTCTTCCCAGATCGGGCTCCCCTTGATCATGTGCCAAATGGCTCCAGGCCGTGTGCACCGTCCCCTCTCTGGAGCCAGATCTCCTTCCCCAAGCCCTGCCGTGTCGGTGTGTCCGTCCTCCACGTCCCTCTGTGCAGTGACAGCCCCGGAAGAGCCGCCTCTAATTCTCCGTAGCAATAACGGTGCGCCGCCCACCCCAGTCCATCCGTGCACCACTAGGATTTTAAAGTCCATAGATTTTAATGAAATTTCTATTCCCGTCTCTGAGCTGCCTCTGTGCTTTGTCTGAGTCCCGCAGAGAGACAAGAGCTGGGGCCGGGGTGCGCCCTCTGCACTGTCTACGCCCAGGCTTCTGTGAAAGCCTGGGAGGAGAAAGGCCGAAGGCTGTGACTGGTCAGGACCAGATACCAGGAGCTTGGCGAGGGGGCGGGAGGAGGGTTGGACCAACGGACAGGACCTTGGGGTCCCATCCAAGACAAGACCTGAAGCAGGCGAGGCCATGGCAACTGAGAGGCGGCAGTAAGTAGCAGGTGGGGCGAGTCCCGGAAGCCAACGCGGTGGCCGGCTGTCAGGACGGGGCCCGGGGCACCGCGCTGGACACCGAGGTGGACGCTGGCCTTTCCTGGGGGCTGCACGGGAGCTTCCGTCCCCAGCGGCAGGCGGCAGCCGGGCCCTGAGGCCTGCGTTCCAGAGGAGGAGCGGGCAGGTGGCACTGGAGAGGCCTCGCCCAAACTCCAGCAGCTCCGCGGAGGCGAGGCAGGGGTCGGAGGCCCTGGCTGGAGGACCCCGAGGGCTGCTGCCTGAACAAGGAGTCGCCATGAGAGGGCCATAGCCCGACTCTCAGCCCACCCCGTGCGGCCGCCCGTCGGCCCTGGTTTACCTGTGGCTGGGGGAGACACAGGAAGGCGGCAGCGGTGCCTGCAGCTCCTGCTGCATGGCTGTCTTCTGCTCCTGCAGCTCTGGAGGAGAGGAGTGCCAGACACGGTGCCCAGCTCCTCTAGGGGACGTCCAGGGGAGGCGTGGGGAGGAAGCCGGGTACCCGGGGCCTGCCCAGCTCCTCACCTGCCAGGGTGGGCTCGGGGGTGGCTTCAGAGGCCCGGCGTGCCTTTGTGCACTCCTCTTCCAGGCAGCGCTGTGGGGAGAGCTGGCTCAGGGCCCCAGCTCCACAGCGGGGGCAGGATAGGCCAGGGCATGCAGAGGCCAAGCAAGACCTTGGCAGGGCCCAGGACACTCTCATCTCAACCACCTGAGGGCAGCCCCCAGGAGAACACCCCCCCACCCCACCCCACCCAAAAAGAAAAAGAAAAAAAAGCGCAGCTTGACAAGGTGGTGGTTGGTCCAGACCCAGACTTAGGAAAAGAAGAAGGCAAAAGACTGGAGAGCGAACCCAGCAGGTTAATTAAAACGTGCTGACCAGAAACTTGGGCTTCCGGGGTCACGCACACACGAGAAACGGATACAGGACTCACACGGCCTTTAGGTGCATGCACGCACACAGACACGCGTGCTCAGGGCTGACACGCCAGGCGAGAGGCGGCTGTGGACACTCGGCAGAAAGGCTGGGGCGGGGCGGGCTGCAGCTCACCTGCAGGACGGGGATCTCCCTCTCCAAGGTGTGACACTCCTCCTCCAGGAGGCCCCTGGGACACGTGGGAGCGCAGCAGCGGGAGCCAGTGCCACGGGACCTCGTCTCAGCAAAGCCCTCACCCAGCCCCAGCCTCCAGCCCACCACAGCCCCCTCCGGGCCTGCCCCACTCAGCCCACCTCGCCCTCTGCTGCCCAGCACAGCCCTCCAGCCCTGCCAAAGCCTCCTCCCGCGAAGAATGCGTCCTCTCCTTGCGCACCTCACCGCATCCACCCGGACAGCGCTGCCATGTCTTCCGTACGACACCTCTTGCCCCTTTTCTCCCCCACATCACAGCCCTTCCCCTGTCTAAAACTCTTCTGTGCTTTCCCCCACCTCCCCTCAAGGTGAAAGTCCTCGGGCCATGGCCCTGCCAGCGTGCCAACTTGGCCTCTCTCTGGCAGCAACCTGCCCTTCCCATCTCTCAGCCTCACTCTAGTGGGCCGTCCCCCCTACCCCGCTGGCATGCTGCCTCCTCTCCTCTCTTGTAGCCCCAGTACTTCCAGATCCACCCAGTCCCCTCCCTGTTCCCATCCCCACTACACACTCGGGGCCTCACCGCAGGTGCCTGGCGACCTGGTCAATGTTGGCCATGCCCAGGGGGTCCTTGAGGAGATGGAGGTCTCTCTGGGCGCTGCTGGGAGACCAAGTCAGTATCACACCGCATGGCCTCCCCAAGGCCTGCCGGACACAGCGCCCCCTCTCTGAGACGACCGTGTGTCTTTCCCCACAGAAGCAATATGGCAGGGCACAAAGGGGAGGCGTTCTGGGGTCTAGGTTTGCACATGGGCTCCGCCACCCTTGGGCAAATGGGTGGTTCTTTCTGAGCTTTAGTTTCCTCCTCTGCAAAACGGGGACATCACTGACCTCACAGGGTTGTGTGAGAATTAAAAAAACGAGCTGCTGCCATTCGTGTCTTAGGAGCTCGCCCCCTGCTCAAGTACCTCCTTCACTCCCAGCCCTCCTCCGGCTCTGTAAGCCCGAGGGACACGTGATTCCCAGACCCCGCCTCCTTTCCTCCCGCCCATGTTTGCAGAGAGTGTCCCCTCTTCCCGAAAAGCTCTTCTCTCTTTCATCTGCTCTTCTGTCTTTCATCCAAGACCCAGACCAAACCAGTCACCTTCTCCAGGAAGCCTGTGGGCCCCCCGGCTGGGCAGGTGTCTCGGGGCCTCTGCAGCCCTCCTGTGCCCATGCCCAGCACAAGGGCTGCAGCAGCGACAGCCTCAGAGCAGGCGCTCCTGTACGGAGCCAGGCGGGGCCCAACAATCGCTGGGGTCCTCTGCCAAGCAGACACCGGGTCCCTCCCCTGCCGTCACCGCTTTACCTGGGCTCACCCACTGGCGTCTGGAATGCCTCCTGCGCTGGGAAATCACCCCCGGGCTCCTCCAAGGCAAAGCGCAGCACCCTGGGGCTGTACTGGACCCACGCCTGGGCCTGGTCCCTGCAGAAGGTGCACACGAAGGCCACCCCGCTCCACCTCAGCCCGAAGAGGCGGCGAAGTAATGAGCCCAGTGGGCCCAAAGGCGGAAAAGTGGCCCCTTGTCCGGGTTCGAGCTGGAACTCCCCTGTCTGGGTTCCGGCGGCCGGGCCCCACCCCCGCTGCGGCTCCCACCTGCCCTCGCAGACGGCCTTCTGGCGGAGGGCCTGCAGCAGCTGCCGCAGCTCCCGGCGCACGAGGTCTCGGAGCCGGGGCGGCGGGGCCAGCAGCGCGGAGGGGTCGGAGGCGGGGGCTCGGGAGGATCGCGCCTCTCGGAGCAGAGACCGCAGCATCACCACCTGCAGGGAGAGCTAGACACCTCGAGACTGGGGAAGGCGGTGTCGGGAGTGAGAAGGGCTGGGGGGGGGGGGGGGGGGCGGGTAGGAGGGAGGAAAGGGAGTCAATCAAGAGGGAGCTGGGTGAGACCCCACAGGAACCCAGAGTAGATTGGGCAATCCCCCGAGTCATGGGTCCGGCCCACCTTCCCACGCGCCCCACCTCCGCCCGCAGCTCCAGGCTCAGGTCCACCATCGTCTCCCCCAGAATCCTCTTCACTTCGGGCCGTTCCGGGGGCGGCACGTGCTCCTCCACCAGCTCCCAAAGCGACGGGCACTCCCCGGGCATGGCCCGCCGCGCCGCCCCCCGCGAGGTCCCGGGCTCCGACCCGCCGCCCCCGGGCCAGGCCCCGCCCCCGGCCGAGCCGCTCGCCCGCCTCTTCCAAGCCCCACCCTGTCCCGCCGGCCGCCGGGCCCGCGGTTGAGTGACCCGGCCCCGCGCTCTTCTCCCGGCTCCGGCGGACTCTCGGGGGTCGCGGTCCTCGGCCACGGCCCTCAGGAGCCGCCAGTGACCAGGGCCCTAGTCCCGCCTCTTCCGCGCGGCCGTCTCCCGGGAAACAGGGCCGCCGCCCAGGCCCCGCCCCCTCCAGCCGCACCCACTGGCTGAGCGTCCTCACGCAGCGGACCGGTTTTGGAGTCTGAACCATCCCGTTACGCGAAGGATCCTGACCCCAAGTACCTTGGTCTCATCCGTGGCCACTTTCGGCATCGGGGCAGGTGGAAGAGCCGAGTAATCTGAGCCCCTGAGCTTACTTCGTGGCCTCCTCCGGCTCAGAGGCCGTGCAGAGTACACCCCTCCCCTTAGAGCACCCCACTGGGAGGGGCCCAGGGTCTGGGGTCTGGATTCAGGGACCCACAGTCCCATCCCCAATCAGACAAAGGGGCTGGCTGCTCCATTCACGTTTTTTACTAAAGCACCCACACAAGTTTCTGTGCAATGTACAAACACAAGCTAGCCCTGGGGCAACTGCCTTTGCTCTGAGACAGGGAGATGGGAACCAGACTGGCTGATCCAAGCCCCACCTGCCACCCATGCAAAGCCCAAGCCCGAGATCCCAGGCAGTAACACAGCACCCCCTCTGGTCCCCTCCTGGGGCTGCTCCTCAGCAGGGGGCCACCAGTTTGCCCCCCGCAATGTTGAATGAAAAAGGTTTCCCCTCCCCTGGGAGCAAGGGGGATCCCCAGGTCTGAGAAGTCGCCCCTGGAAGTGGCACTGCCCCCGAGTCATTACCTCCCATTCTTCCAGGCCCTAGGGGACTCAAGGGAGGGGAAACTGAGGCACAGAGAGGTGGAGTGACCTAGCCCAGGCCACTCCATGAGGCAGTGCAGGGGCTGGCCCAATCCTGACAGTTAAGGGGGGCTGGCCTGGGGAGGGAGGAGTGAGGAGGAATGACCCCAGAGGCCCCCCCACCTCGCCCCTAACTTAAAGGGCCTGTTCAGGATGGCAGCCCCTCCAAAGTAGGTTCTGAAATTTCTAGGTGCAGCTGGGAGGGCCTATGGAAGACCCTCAGGAAAACAGAGCCCACAGTTCCAGTCCTGGGGGATCGCCCACGGAGCAGCCGCCGGCCAGGCTGAAGGTCAGTCCTCCGGCCAGCAATCCTTGGCCCGGGAGCCATGTCCTTCAGGGTCAGCCCCGGGGGGGCCATGCCGGGGGCCGGCCGATGTCCACCGTGATGTTGGTGAAGAGCGGCTGTCTGGACACCTCCAGGACCTGATACCGCACGGATGCGATGCCGTCGCGCTTCATGGTCAGCTTCGTGTTTTGGATCTTGGTAAACCTAGAGAGGACGGAGATGATTCCAGATCAGGGCTAACAACCAAACCCAACATCTCTGGGACCAAGGGTCAACCATCTCGGCATCCTCCAGGGGTGACCCGGTTCTCCTTGCCACCCCTCCACCCTCCACCTGCTTGGAGTCCTTTTGCTCTTAAAATTACCCTCGAAACAGATTCCCCGCCCCTGCCCAAAGTCCAGAACTGTGACACCCCCACAAATCTCTCATCTCAGACCTTCCTTTAGACCCAGACACAGGGCGTCCCACAGACACCCCAAATGCAACGTGTCACCTTTACTCCCCAAACCATCATCTCGGCCATCCTCTGTTCCTCATCCTGTAGTCACTCCTTCACCATCTATTTGCTGAGCAGGCCCCATGTGCCAGGCTCTCCCCTAAGCACCAGGGGCACAGCCATACGCAGGCCAGCAAGGTCCTTCCTCTCATCTCCCAAGTCCATGCCATGAGGGGAGACAGGTCACGCACAAGGAACACGGCGTTAGTGCCACGGGACACGGGAGAGGGAGACCAAGAAGGCTTGGAAGGGGTGAGTATGTGACATCAAGCTGACAGCAGGAGGGAGAGCATTCTAGGCAGAGGTGGCAGCACCTGCTGATCTAAACTGGGCATGAGAATTTGCACAGCTCTGTGTGGCTAGACCCTAATGGGCCCAGGGAAGAAACAGAGGACTTAGCGTGGCGGTTACATCAGGTATGGGCAGGGCTCTAAGTCAGAGGAAGCGGGTTTTTATTCTGTGAGCAGGAAGACACGGAGGGATTCTTTAGCCCAGTCTGGGGGAGGGAGGGTCCGGGAACATGGACCCCAGAGGGGCAAAGGGGAAGCAGGGAAACCAGTGAGAAGTCCCTGCGGTGGTCCAGGCAGAAGAAGATGGAGTAAAGGGAAATGCTGATGGGCTCGGGTATGTTTGGGGGTGGCCCTGGCTGACGGTTCGGACATGTGGGGTGAGTGGAAGACGAATCCAGGAGAGCTCCTAGATTCAAGGCGAAAGCAGCCGGGCCGACAAAACCACCGCCCACACAGCACCTTCGGCCAGTACCTCTTGCTATCTTGTCACTCACCCGCCCACGGCAGACATCACTAATTGATGATGGCTATTCCTGAACCAGGACCAAGGCTCCCGGCACTGTGCTTCCAGCAGAGCTGACTCCCATGCCCTGTGTCGGTCCTCCCAGTCCTTCTGAGCTCGGCTCAGACCCCTCTCTGAGCTCTCACTCTCAGCTGCTCCGAAGCCCTCTTCTCCCTGCTCACCGTGATTTTTACCTAACCTGCTTTTTCATCAGCTCCCTGGGCACTCGGGGCTTCCTGCTTCTGCCAGACATCAACCCTACGCCCAGTGCGGCACTCCCCGCTCTTACACCCTGGGTCAGAGCAAGCCACCCTACTGTTCCAGCCGGAGCAGAGCAGCCTCGCTCCCAGCACGCTCCTGGGTTCCCATGGATCCCTTCAGGCCTGCTCGGCTTCCTTCAGGATCTACCCAGCGGCTCAGCAGCCTTTCGCCTTCCTCAGGCTCCAAGGGTGGTCCCTCCATGACTCCCCGATGCCCGTGGGGCAAGAGTGAAACTGACAACCTGGGATTTGAGACTCCCAACACCCATCCATGATCTTCTCTACCGTTCGTCCCAGCCCTCGGGAACTTTAATACCCATGAGTTCCGGACTCTCATCTAGGGGTGTCGAACTCAATCAGAGAAGGGGCCAAAATCTAAAATCCAGCCTAAATCGCGGGCCGAATGGTTTACTGAACAGTCATAAACTGTCATTGTGATGCAAACGCAGCGGAGTGCAGTGATGACAGCGCGGTGCGGGCCACATTGCAAGGCCTGGCAGTGCATGCTCACATTCCAGAGTCCGACTCGTACTATTTCCTTTTATCCGAACTGGCCTCCGCTATGAACCTGGTGAACACGGCACTGTGCCCAAGGTGGGTGGGCGACAAATACTTGCCGGATGAATAGCCGTCAAACCCCAGTTCACCCCCCCCATCCTCCAGGAGGCTTCCCACCATCACTCGGCCAGGACGGCACCTTGCCCTGACCACCTTGTGCCATACCTGCCCGTCTCCCTCCCCAGAAAGAACTTCACAGGGGACATCCTGCTCTGGACCCTTCTCCCCAGCGGGTCTGGCTCCAGACAGTCCCTGAGCAGTGGCAGGAAGCCCCCGTCTACATTCCACATGCTCTCAGGCACTTCTCCTGGCCAGCTCCAGGCACCAAATGTTGCTACACCCTCAGAGACAGAGCTGCCCACTCCCACCTCAGAGGGTCGGCACTGTCTTTCCGATCCCCATCCCACACGCCTGGGGCTCAGGCCTTTGTTGAGCTCCAGGCCCAGGAGCTGAGCCCGGAGCTGCCTCTCTCTCATCCTATCTGCTCCACGGGGATGGGAATGCAATCTCCTCAATGACAGTCTGAGCCCTGCCTTTCCATCGTAGTCACTGCTAGGAATCAAGCCAGGAGTGAGCTGCCTGGGTGAGGCGGAGACGGCGGGCAGGGACCAGGGACCAGAGGCGCTGAGATTTCACGTCAAGGGTCAGGGGGGGTGGGGGGTGGTGTTGGGATCTCTGGGGACCCGCTGCACAGGGCGTCACCCCAGGGAGTGAGGGGAGAGGAGCCCTCGGGGTCAGGGTGCTGGGGGTCACCTCTGAGGATTGGGCTCGTTATGCTTGTCCCGGTCGTGCTTGATCATGCGGTAGCGGCCTATGCGCACGTCTGGGCGTGAGATCTTCATCCCGGTCAGGGAGATCCTGGGGGCGGGGGACAGACGGACTGGAGCAGGCAGCAGGAAGGGCAAGCGGCCCCGCCCGGTGTGCCCCACCCTCTCTGCTCTGTCCTACCCAGTCTGCTCTGCCCACCCTCTCAGGCACCCGGTCTGCTCTGTCCCACCCTCTCAGGCACCCGGTCTGCTCTGTCCCACCCTCTCAGGCACCCGGTCTGCTCTGTCCCACCCTCTCATGCAGCCGGTCTGCTCTGTCCCACCCTCTCAGGCACCAGGTCTGCTCTGTCCCACCCTCTCATGCAGCCGGTCTGCTCTGTCCCACCCTCTCAGGCACCCAGTCTGCTCTGTCCCACCCTCTCAGGCACCCGGTCTGCTCTGTCCCACCCTCTCAGGCACCCGGTCTGCTCTGTCCCACCCTCTCATGCACCCGGTCTGCTCTGTCCCACCCTCTCAGGCACCCGGTCTGCTCTGCCCACCCTCTCAGGCACCCGGTCTGCTCTGTCCCACCCTCTCATGCACCCGGTCTGCTCTGTCCCACCCTCTCAGGCACCCGGTCTGCTCTGCCCACCCTCTCATGCAGCCGGTCTGCTCTGTCCCACCCTCTCAGGCACCCGGTCTGCTCTGTCCCACCCTCTCAGGCACCCGGTCTGCTCTGTCCCACCCTCTCAGGCACCCGGTCTGCTCTGTCCACCCTCTCAGGCACCCGGTCTGCTCTGTCCCACCCTCTCAGGCACCCGGTCTGCTCTGCCCACCCTCTCAGGCACCCGGTCTGCTCTGTCCCACCCTCAGGCACCCGGTCTGCTCTGTCCCACCCTCTCATGCACCCGGTCTGCTCTGTCCCACCCTCTCAGGCACCCGGTCTGCTCTGTCTCACCCTCTCAGGCACCCGGTCTGCTCTGTCCCACCCTCTCAGGCACCCGGTCTGCTCTGTCCCACCCTCTCAGGCACCCGGTCTGCTCTGTCCCACCCTCTCAGGCACCCGGTCTGCTCTGCCCCACCCTCTCATGCACCCGGTCTGCTCTGTCCCACCCTC